GAACAAGAGAGGATGATGTTAGCCACAGTAAGAGAACCTCCTCACGAACTCCCTGATCCCCTAGAACAATCCTGGCTAATGGCATAGGCAGATCTTGTAGGACTTGTTAAGAGACATGGAACTGACCTCACTTCTCGAGGGTAGGGGGAGAGGAGAGAAGATTCCATAATCCCCCAAGGCTCCCCAATGGACCAAACCTTTTACTTTCTCCCCTTTGTTGATACCATGATGCAAAAGTCATACCTTAGCAGCCCTGGATGGTCATCTAAGTTCCTTAGGGGAGAATTTAGTCACACTTAAGACCTGGATACCCTGTTAGGGGCACTTTCACAGCATCATGGCTGACATGGGGAAGTATTGCCCATTTACAGAATGTTAACCATGGCTACAAAGCACATCTTGATCCTAACTCAAGGTAGTGATTCTGTCACTCTTTCTCGTCCCTCAACTCCTTTTTGACCACTGGATCTTGGTCACATTTCAGGATTCGTTGAGGCCCAGGCAGTAATGATAATGCTGCATGCAAGCTCTGTTAGTCAGATTTCTGTTTCCCTTAAAAGAACATTTTAAAAAATGAAAATGAGGCTGCTATCTTGATTAGTGCCATGCAAAATATTTGCAGTGCACACAATCTACATATATAAAATTTGCCTTTGATGCATATAAATTAGCTGCTGCAATTTTTATCCTGTAGATTTGTATCTTCTGTTTCCTTCTAAGCAAGTTGATATGGCAATCCAAACTAAATAGTTCCTTTTTAAAAAAATCTACAGCTGATCTTCATGGTGGAGCATAAGGAAATTATTGGGGGTGGAGGGAATGTGGCACGCTTGAGAATAGCTTAGAGATTTCAACTTTTCATCTTTCAAAATCTGCATTCAGTATTTGTTTCCTGTTGCATAGAATGTGTAATTCCAATCAAATGCTATATTTGTAACTAGTTGAGATGGACAACTGGCTATACAGGAAATCCTCAATTTATGACTACAATGGAACTGCCCATTGCAGTGGTATATCACAAGGGTTGTAAAAACTGATCTCAAACCAACTTTATGACTTATTGTGCAGCAATCAAAAAGCAAACCCATTGCTATGGGCCATTTTTGCTGAATACCTGCAAAGGGTCACTTTTCAGAAAAAAATGTCATAAAACATGGTCACGTGGCCATAGGATGTTACAAGAGGCCATAAACACCAGCCAGTTGCTGGGTACTCAACATGTGGTTATATGATTTAAGATTCCAGTAGAATTTTGGAACTGGCTTATAAGTAGCCCCTGGAGAAGTCCATTGGAACTTTGAACAGTCACTAAATGATTGGTCATAAATCAAGGACTACCTGTAGAAATCAAATAAATTAAAATAAAATAAAATAGGGAAAAGTAGCTGCAAGAATGGGAGGGCATCAACATACACACACCAAATCATTCATGTATCACACTTAAACTTAGTTCATGACTTAACTCATTTTCTGGAATTGTTTAACCTGCTAACCAGGGACTAACCCAAGACACAAATCTATATGAAAGTGAAAGTTAACCAAGTTAAAGTTAAATAAGCTTGGTGTGTTGCTGGAACGTAGCTCCTAGCTTAGTGACTGAGCTGATTAAAGCTTTCTATAATTATACCTATTTAATTAGTGGTTTTTAAAAGCCGCTTATATGCTGTGTTTTCTGTGCCATGTCAGGGATGAGCTCTAACATAGCTTAGCTACATGTCATCCACTATTCCTGGTAGAGTTGAACATATCAATGGTTTCCTGGGTTAAAAATAACATTATCTATATATTCAAAGAATTTGTTTCCTGACTATTGCCAAATCTGAAAAGGTAATAAAAACATCTACAGACTTCAGAAACTTGGTGGTTATTATCAAGAGGATACGAGGGAGCTGGCCATCAAAAGGCAAAGATCAGAGCTGCAGTTATACCACTGAAACTCTGCCCTTTTTATCCAAGTTGCCTGTATTTAAAAAGGGAAGACTCTGATTGTGAAGTCATGGCTAATATCTTGACCATGCTCTGCTGTTATGATTATTATGGTTCATTGAAGTGTCAGCCAGATGTTGAGACTGAATTTTGCATTTTTATCCACTTATTAACCTGGGATAGGTAATTGTTGTTTGTTAAAAAAAATATTGCTGCAGGATGTTGCAAGATGTCATTTGCTTCAAATACAGCTGCCTTTTGCAGCTGACCAATGGTGATGTTGGTCAATGCCAGCGGTGTTCAGGGGGAGTGCTTCAGTTGTTTTGGGGTTGTATCCAGGGTGCTTATTAGATTGGGACTATCATTGACTTCTTTTGCCTTATAATTATTAGAGTTCATCACACAGCCAGGCCAATGTTTAGATTGGATTTGTCAAGGCAAATCCAATAGGCAGTAGTTGTTTGATGGTGTTAAAAATACAGGTAGTTCTCGACTTAGAACGGTTCAGTTAGTAACTTTCAAAGTTACAATGGCACTGAAAAAAAGGGACTTACCGCCATTTTTCACACTTAAGACCACTGCAGCGTCCACACATGATCACGTGATCAAAATTCGGCCGCTTGGAAACTGGCGTGTATTTATGACGGTTGCAGTGTCCCGACTTTCTTATAAGCAAAGTCAATGGGTAAGCCAGATTCACTTAACAACCATGTTACTAATTTAATAATTTCAGGGATTCACTTAATAGCAGGGGCAAGAAAGGAGGATAGCGGGGACAAGAAAGGGACAAGAAATGGGGTATAAAATTCACTTAAATCTTTCACTTAGCAACAGAAATTTTGGGCTCAGTTGTGGTCATAAGTCAAGGGCTACCTGTGTTGTCGCAGGATGTAAGTTTTTCCAAATAAAGCTGCCTTTTGGAACTGGCTGATGGTGCTTTTGTCAATGCCCAAAGTTTCCAAGTGGTGCTCCAGTTGTTTTGGGATTGTGCCTATTACTATTGCGACTATCTTTGTTTTGCCACAGTCGTTCTATTTGCAAGTCTTTGCATTTTATTATTTCTCCACTATTTTCTATTCTATTCTACTGTCTCCAAGCATTGCAATGTCCACTATCCAGACTTTTATATCTTTATTATTGACAATTGTTAAGTCTGGAGGTGTTATGTGGCAGGTGCTTGTCTATTTCAATTCCAAAGTACCAAAAAGCACTTTAGCTTCTTCATTTTATATTACTTTGTCTGCTTCACGATCCCACCAATTCTTACTTGCAAGCAAATGGTTTGCTATTATTATAGCGTAAAATAAATGCATCCCACAATTTGGAAAGCGAAAACTGCTCTCGGGCAATCAAGGGTATTGTAAGAAGCAAGCCAGCATCCTTTAAGAAAGACAGATCTTGGTCCCTTTCAGGTTTGTTGTAGATTAAGGAACACTGGCTGAAATCTAACCAGCCTAACCTGATTGTCAATGAAACTGTCCTGTTTTGGGGCATCAGATGGATGTTTGGTCTCCTCCACCGTTCTACACTTCCTGAGTGCTTGTGCTTCAATGTCCTGCCTTGCACTTAATTGCAATGGATGCCTCTCCCTTGAAGAAAGGAGAAAGAAAGAGATTCTTCAGAAAAGAGCATTTCAGGGTTGCTAGGCAACCATTCATGTGCATTTTCAGCTTCCCAGTGAATAACATCTTCATCCCAGGCTAGAAAATTGCTTCCCTTTTACAGCTGTTTCTCTCATATGGTAGGCAATCCTGCTACCTTGACCCAAACCTTGCTGACCCTCCATCTAGGACTGGGTACAGCCAAATCCAAAGTAGATCAAGTTACCAATGAGTCCTGTTTCTGGTTCAGCCTACAACAGAGGAAGACAAGGGAGTGTGCTCAGTGGTGGGATTCCAATTTTTTTTACTACCGGTTCTGTGGGCGTGGCTTGGTGGGCGTGGCAGGGGAGGGAATACTGTAAAATCTCCAGTCAGAGGGGGTATTTGCCGGTTCTCCGAACTACTCAACATTTCGGTTACCTGTTCTCCAGAACTGGTCAGAACCTGCTGAATACCACCTCTGAGTGTGCTTCTTCCCAATTTGCCCTTTTCCTTGCTGATTAAGCAGGTCCATAAATCACTTCCCTTTTCCAAGGTCCTTTTTTAAAAATGATGATTCGAAGCAAACATTTCTTAGACAAGCCAGAGTGATAGGAAGGTCTCTCAGAGCCATGTCTTCAGACAGAGGACGACATCCAGTTTTTTCCTGTCCGCCTAACATTCTGTAGGAATGAAGCCACTGAGTGGCCTTCAGAAGAAAAGGCCCGTCTTCATTTTGAGCAATTGATTTAGTGGTGGGACATGCAAGAAAAACGGGGATGATCGACATCCTGTTAACTCTGCCAGGATTCCTCTATTTGTTTCAAAGTTAAGGAAGAGGAAAGCTCAGTAATTAATGTTGTGTTTTTCTCTTCCCCTTCTCATTCCATTTGATGAAAGATTATATGTTTTAGAAACTAGTATCCAAGAAGAACAGAATGTGAGCTCCTTCCTTTTCATGCTACGATACTTGGTCCATTCTTCTGTCCTTTCCTGACCTCCTAGTCCTCCACTGAATCTTTGGAGAAGGTCCCATGTGAGCCTTTCACACCTGAACAAAGATGGAAAAAAAGAAAATTAGGTGAGAAATTGAAAAATGAGATCTCATACAGGATACTCATCATGAGAGCTAGCAGATCTGGCCTGCAAAAATCCAGATATCAGCAAAGATGACATCCAGATGTCAACAAAGATGATGTTTAGATGATGTCTAGATGATGTCTAGATGTCAACAAAGATGTTCTGTTTCTGTAGGGGTGCTCTGAATTTTTCAGTTAGCTCCAATCTTCGGCCCGGGGTGAAGGGCTCCCCACTCTTCTCCAACAGCATTGAAGAATGGAATATAAATTTATTACGGTCTTAGACCAGCAATAGACATCACTATTTACAATATATATATAAAAAAATACTGATACATTATAATACATTAATAGTGGATAAAAACATCTCTTAAGAAAATACAGGTTCTCAAACAGTTAGGGGCACTCCCTGGTTTATATGAGTGGAGAGCCAATAAGTATGTGTATAAATATCATTTCCCAAAATTTGTTCTATCTCCAAAAATTGTCACAAATTGACAGCTATAATTCTGTAACCATTTTTTTTTCTAGTAGACATTGCAGCAACACAGAATTTTGCCACTGCACACGTAATAGCTGGGTTTGAATCCTGGGTTTGATTCCAACAGAAATTGACATGCATAGCTTGTCAGCGTATAACAATTTCCTCTCTTTCCTCAATTTGCCCTCTTCTCCAGATGCTTAATACATTCAGATGCTAAGTAACTTCCATCAGGCCTGCTGTTAAAGCAATGGAGCACATCTCTGCTCTGCTCTGCTTTTCCTTTCAATGGGTCCCTCTCAGCAGCTCTAAGCCCCAGTTAGGAAGAAGAGAATCTGGGATACTGTGGAGGAGGGTAGTTAGGACCCCAAAGTTCAAAGTTAGGATCTCAGAGACAATCAACTCTAGATGAGTCCGGAAGTTATGACGCCTAGCACGACACCTAGGAATGCATGGCAAGCTAAATTCACCCAGACCAATGTAAAATCAGCATGTCCCTAATTAATAAATAGAGGTACAAATTGGGAAATAATTTCTCTCCCTTAAATGGTTTGTCTCCCACAGTGGTCTGCAAATCTGGTCTGCAGAAAAATCAGATGGCCACTAGGGAGCAGCAAAGAATTAGGGTTATCTCTTCGATGCCCCCTAGAGGTTATGTGACTTGATACCTTTGCTCAGAACAGGTTGCAGCCTCTTTCTCCATAAATAGAGGGCTGCCCACTGCTAGGGCACACACACCCCCTACCTAGCTCTGGCTCAGCCACATTGTTTTCCAAACTCCACCCACGGCTTTTCTGTTCCTCCTTTGCCCTTTGACTCACATGTTCATTATTACCTTTAAAAGCCTTGTTGGCAGAACCAATACAAGAGCAGTTGGCTATCTGCCATGTATTTTAGCAAGGACACACAAGACCAAATAAAGCCTTGGAGAAGTTTTTTTTTTAATCAACTTCATGTTTAAGCACCATTGATCATTGGAGGAGTAAAGTGCATTTTGGTATAGACATTTTGGAGCATGGCTGTAGACCTGGGCTTGCATGTTTGAAGGACCTGCCCAATTGCACATAGAAAGCTAGCAAATCAGGAAAAGGTTTGCTGACTGCCACTTTTCTACATACATGAAATGTTTGGCTCAACTGGGCCAGGAAGGAACACAGAATTCTTCCCAATTAAACCACAATCTTTGTTACTTTTCCACAAGTATCCAGTTTGGGTGAGGAGAGCCTTCCCCTGTTCTAAGTTGTTGTTGCCAGCTTTAATTTCTTGCTATTCTTATAGAGTGATTGTGTTGTTTAAGTTTTTATGAGATTTGTTTAATACTGCATTTTTCTACATGAGTTGCCAAAAGCCGTTTCTGATTGCCGTGGCATACAGATCTGTTTGATACATAAGTCCATTGAAATTAAAAAACAGGCAGAGTCCAGCAAGGTGATTTACTACCTGCATAGACCTGAGATACTGCCATTTCTTCTATCTATATTCTTATCCTTAATTATGTATAAATATTGGTATGGACATTTTAATGGTAGATCCAGATGTAACTATAGTAAACTCTTTTTGTTTGGGGTAAATCTTGACTACTCTTTGCAATCAGTGATGGAAATGCTAAATTTGTAAAGATCTGTCCAAGAACTCATGGAGTAGCTGGTGGTAAGCATTGGTTTCTCTTTCATCTGGCACCCTGGGGAAGGCTGTGCATGTGCGTGTGTGCGTGTATCCCATAATGGAGGGGAACATCTTTTATTTTATTTATTTATTTTATTTTTTCAACAATTATTAGATAACGGGTATAAGTATAAACACAGTTATGAATACAGGAAATGGATATGAATAAGAAAAAAGAAAGAAACAATAGAAGAGGGAGGGTAGGCATGTTGGTGCGCTTATGCACGCCCCCTACAGACCTCTTAGGAAAGGGGTGAGGTCAATAGTAGACAGTCTAAGGTTAAAGTTGTTGGGATTTGGGGAAGAAACCACAGAGTCAGGTAGAGTATTTCAGACATTGACCACTCTGTTGCTGAAGTCGTATTTCCTGCAATCAAGTTTGGGGCAGTTTACCTTGAGTTTGTATCTATTGTGTGCTCTTGTATTGTTGTGGTTGAAGCTGAAGTATTCATTAACAGATAGGGCATTGCAACATATAATTTTATGTACTATACTTAGATCAAACTGAAGGCGGTATAGTTCTAGGTTGTCTAGGTCTAAAATTTCAAGTCTGGTGGCATAAGATATTCTGCAACAAGTAGAGAAGTGGAGAACTCTTCTTGTGAAATATTTCTGGACTTTCTCAACTGTATTAATATCAGATATGTAATGTGGGTTCCAGATTGATGAGCTGTATTCAAGTATTGGTCTAGCAAATGTTTTGTATGCTGTAGTTAGTAGAGTGATATTACCGTAGAAAAAGCTACACAGGATTAGATTTACAACTCTTAATGCCTTTTTGGCTTTGTAGTTACAGTGGGGTCTAGCACTTAGATCATTTGAGTTGAGTACTCCAAGGTCCTTGACAAAATTTGGGTCATCAACAAGGTCTTGACTATTCAGCTTGTATTTTATTTTCTGATTATTTTTTTTGCCAATATGTAAGACAGCATTTATTTGTTGAGATTTGAAGTTGCCATTTGTTTGACCATTCTGACACATAGTCAAGGTCTTTTTGAAGGGTAGCAGTACTGTCGGTGGTGTTGAATAGCTTTACATCATCAGCAAAAAGAACGCAGTTGCTCTTAATATGATCACAGAGGTCATTTATGTAGAGTATGAAGAGAGTTGGTCCTAGAACACTGCCTTGGGGGACACCTCTGTTGACAGATTCAGGATTTGATAGGACGCTCCCAATTTTGACCATTTGTTGCTTGTTTGACAGGAATGCTTCTATCCAGTTATGCAGGTGTCCAGAGATACCATAAGATTTTAATTTTCGGAGTAGTTTGTCGTGTACCACTGAATCAAAGGCTTTACAGAAGTTATGTAAATTGCATCTATTGCTTTGTCCTGATCAAGTTGTGTAGTCCATATGTTTTCGCAGTGTAAGAGTTGCAGATTACATGATAGTTTTTTTCTGAAACCAAATTGTTTATTAGAGAGTAGGTTGTTTGTCTCTAAGTGGATGATAATGGATTGATTAATAATTGATTCCATGACTTTACAGGTGACACAGCGTAAAGAGATTAGTCTGTAATTTTCAACTAGGCTGGAATCTCCCTTTTTGAAGATGGGGATGACTATGACTAGTGACCATAGGTTTGGCAAGGAGCTGGTCCTGAAAGATTTGTCAAAGCTCATGCTTAGAGGTTCGGCTATGGCAGTTGATAGCCTTTTTAAAAAGTAGGCACATATTCCATCCCATCCAATAGATAGAGATGGTTTTAGATTGCATAGTGCTTTTTCAACATTGTTTTCTGTAAAATTGATATGTATTAGATCATTGTAGTTGTCTGTGGTTCGACTAGGAAATACTGGGCATGATCCATTGCTGTTTACAAATACTTACCCAAAGAATGTGTTGAAGATGTTGGCTTTAATTGTGTCATTGTTGCAGTCTTTACCATTAGGTCCTTTCAGGGGTGGGATGGACCTTGAGTCTTTTAGTTTGTTGTTTACAAAATTGTAGAAAGCATGGGTAGAATTGGTGCGTAGAGGGTTTTCCTCTTGTTTAATGTGATAATTGGTGCATTCAGTCTTTATCTCGTGGCATAAATTTTTGTATCAGCTTTTAAAGTTGGCAACATGACCAGATTTGTTTTTCCGCCAAAGGGATTTCTTTTTAGATTGGTGCTTCCTTATTGTTTTGGGTAATTTGTTTTTCCTGGTTTTGGGAGTTGTTATTGGTACATATAGTTTGATGACTCTTTTGACTTCAAGTAAAAATATGTTGTAATGGTCTTCAACAGTATTGCATCCAATGAATAGAATTTGCCAATCAAGAGATGAGAGATCGCTGTCTATAAGATCATAGTTGCCTTTTTTGAAGTTATAATTGGGGATCCTGTCATTATGGTGATTTTTGTGAGGATGTATGTTGAGACAAAAGTCAATCATGTTGTGGTCACTGTTGGAAAAAGGTTCATTAATTTGTATTCCATAAATTGAATTCAAACTATTGCAGAAGATAAGATTGAGGCAGTTGTTAAATCTAGTTTTGTTGGCTACTAGTTGTTCCAGTCCCAGATTTGTAACAGCATTGTAGAAGGTTGCACGTATGGGTTCAGTTGTACATTCGTTTAGAGTCCAGTTAATATGAGGTAGATTGAAGTCACCAAGAAAAATAAAAGCGTGTGGGCAGGATGTTGCCCATGTTAGTAGTGAATTTAACTTGTTTACATGTTCAATGTCATAATAAGGGGCTCTGTAACATAGTAAGAATCAAAATGTGATATTTAAGGACAGTTCACAGACGATGGTCTCAGGAAGAGCAAGCTTCTGGGTAATTTGGATGTTTTTAGATGTAGGGACTTTTTATAGAAGATAGCAACACTACCTCCTCTACGGATTTCATGATCTGATTGGTAAATATGATAGTCTTTTACTGTGGTAATGGAGTCAGGGAGGGATGCATTAAGCCATGTTTCACAGACAAATATGATGTCTAATTTAGCCATATTTAGTAAGAGGAGAAATTCGGGTATTTTATTTACAAGGCTTTTTGCATTGAGTAGCTTGCATTTAAGGCCAGTTGTAGTTGGAATTGAGGTAGTTAGTGGCATGCGTGCCTAGTTTTGGGTGATGGTGGATTGGATGAAGTAGGGTTGGTTGCTGAGTTGTGGGTTGTGTGACTAACTTTTAATACAATCAGCATGGTTGTCAATGTACAGATCCTTCTCTCCATTGTCTAGATGTTTTTTTGAGTTCTGTGCAGAGTTCACAGGAGCAGATTCTTTGCAGTACGGATAAGTGTGGTCGTGAGTGAAGTTTGGTTTTAGCAATGGCGTTTATTGTATGAATGAATATCTGTTTTCTGGACTCATTTTTGCAAACAACTCTACAAAATCTTGGGGCCACCGAGCCTTCATTATATTTGAACTCAGGACCATCTCTGGTTATTTTAATGATATCTTCAGGAGATATGTTTGTTGTATTGGAGTTGCTTATGATATTACAAACTTTGGTGATATCATCTGATTCATTGGTGTCTTCAAGACCAAATAAAATGGCATTTGGATGTTTCTGATCACATTCCATGATGCTACTTCCAGAAGTAACAGAGGAACACAACATGACCATTATTTCCATCAACACCCTTGTGTCAATATGGAACGTGGTCTGTTTTTCAAGACGAAATGTTAGATACCAGCTTGCACAGATTCATTGCCTTCCTGTCCTTTAAAACCAAATCAATAATAGCATCACTCCTATGGGCCATCCCCACATTCAAGGGTTATTATAACAGAATAACAGATTTGGAAGGAACCTCAGAGGTCTTCTAGACCACCCCCCTGCTCAGGCAGGAAACCCTATACCATTTCAGATGGTTGTCCAATTTCTTCTTTAAAAACCTCCAGTGTTGGGGCACCCGCAATGTTTGGAGGAAAGTCGTAGTACACTTCGACCATATGTAAAAGGAGTAGGCTTTTAATTACATGGTTGTGGCTCATTGATTTATAACATTGACTCTTCAACAGGGGCCATCTGGTCAGAGAGACAGCATGGCCCATTTGCCTGGGTCTGGTATTTGCCAGGTAGCAGGGTCAAGCCCACTCAACCCATAGAATAGCATTTGGGAGAGACCTGAAAATAGGAGAGATATGAGAAGCTACTCTGAGCAAAGTAGAAGAGACAGTTGATCAATGGTGGGGGGGTTTAATGAGTTTTTTTTTTTAAAGACACTCCGAAGCTGTTATGGCCTGCTTGCTGATTGCTTTGCACACACACATACACAAATTTCAAATCAGGCCCTAGGAAAATTTGCATGCCATAACCTGTATAACCTGCGTAATTAGGCAACCGTATCTAAGTTTGCATAATTTATTCTCGCTTTTCTTTACTATTTACATAATTGAGAGTCAAGGAGATCAAGAACCAGCTGTGCTGAATGGCACTGCAAGTCCTGCCACCCCTCCTTCGCTCTTCTTGTTTTCATTATCATTCTTTTCCAATGATTTTTTTTTCCCACTAGAAAGGCTTAAGCCAGAGGTGGTGTTCAGCCGGTTCTGACCAGTTCTGGAAAACCGGTAGTGGAAACTTTGAGTAGTTTGGAGAACTGGCAGATACCACCTCTGACTGGCCCCACTCCCATCTATTCATTGCCTCCCGAGACCCAGCTGATTGGCTGGCTCTTCTTTTGTTGCCCTGCACAAGAGAACGGGGCTGCAAAGCAGGTTAGTGGGGCAGAGAGGAAATGGGGATTTTGTAGTATCCTTCCCCCAGGACTGGGGAGGGAATGGAGATTTTACAATATCCTTCCCCTGCCTCGCCCACCAAGCCACTCCCACAGAGCCGGTAGTGAAAAAAATTGAATCCCACCATTGGCTTAAGCATAAGTTCTCCACAAATGTCCATATTCTGTTAGCCTCTCTGGCCCAGTTGGAGCTTTTCAGCATTCAGACCCAAATGGTACAGATCATTTTACCTAGAGATCTCCAAAAGTTATCGTAAAACTGTAGTTTTTGAACGGCTACTACAGAGTACAACAGCGTCAAAAAGAAAAGTATGTGTCTCAGTTGTTCCTCTGATCTAAAAACTTAAGGTAAGGGTGGCTTTCATCCTGAAAAAAATGTGACACATCCCGTCTTAAACAAGAAAAGGACATGCCTGTATTTCTGGCCTTAGGCAATTCAAATTTGCAAGGTACTGTATAATAAATAAATAGTAGTGACATCCCAAATGTAACCAGGGACCTGCTCTAGAAATGGCCAGTAGGGGTCAGACTGACCTTTTCTAGTAGTTGCCTTTTGCCTTTTTTTTTTTCTTCTCTTTTATCCTTTTCCTTCCTTCCTTCCATTCTTCCTTCCTTCCTTTTCAGCGTTCTGCTCAGGGGTGGGATTCAAAAATCCCAGCAACCGGTTTGTGGGTGGGCGTGGCCATGGTAGACATGGCCTATTGGAACTTCCTGTTTCCGGCTTCCGGTGGACCTCCAGAGCCCGAGGGAGGCTGTTTTTGCCCTCCCAAGGTTCCAGAGGCTTCCCCCAGGCCTCTGGGAGGGTGAAAACGGCCTCCCCCAGGCTCTGGAGGCCCACCAGAAGCTGGAAACAGGACCGTTTCTGGACTTCTGGAAGGCCAGTTTTCCCCCTCCCAGAGTCTCCATGTGGACCCTGCACTTACCTGCATCACGGGGAGGGGAGGGGCAGGCTAGAAACCAGGAGACTGTGAGTTCTAGTCCTGCCTCAGGCACAGCAGCCAGCTGGATCACCTTTGGACAGTTCCTTTCTCCCAGCCCTAACAATGAGAAAATGCAAACCACTTTCAAAAACTTTCCAAGAAAACTGCAGAGATTTCTCCAGGAAACTACCAGCAGTCAATACAGACTGAAATTGGCTTATACATGCACACACATGTGTGCGTACATACACACACACACACAAACACACCCTCCTCAGGGCATCTGATGAAATCATCGTTAGCCCTTCCATAAGTCTCTGAACAAATCTTTCCAAATTTCTATCACCGTGTATGTGCACATACACATGTGCATGTGCCCGCGCGTGCACACACACACACACACACACACACACATTATTCTTGGCAAAGAGAACTGCATCCAGTCAAGGCAGGAAGATAGCAAGTCCCTCAGTAGGAGTAAGAAAGAGAAGGAAACATTGAGCCAATTTAATTGAATACCACACCCAGCAAACAGTATTTCATTGTCATTGGCTCTTGACAGATTGCTCAAAAGATCTTCCTTCTTCTAACAGATGCAATCCACCTGGCAGGGTATCTTTCTTCCATGCTATCTTGCTAGCCAATAGTCTAATCAGCAATTCAAAGGTCCATGAGAATGTAGCACATTCCAGCATTTTTCCTAGGGAAAAGCACTTCCCCTCATGGACAAATCCATTCAGAACTCAAAAGCCCACAGGCACAATTGCCAACAGGAATGCATGTTCCATTGCCATGTGGGATTATTACTTCTAATAATACTATGTGTTATTTGCAGTAAAGAGGCTGGTTGGAATATACACAGGTACTTGGGGGCCCAAGTGCTTTTGCCACAGTCTTAAAATGATGTTTGCAGGATCAAATTTTTTGCAGTACACCCTCTGCTAGAGAGAACTTCCCTGGGCTCTGGCACAAGTCTGAAAGATTGGAAAAGCAAACCTCTTGTCCCAGTGACTGACCCAGATTGAATCCTGCAACATTATCCTGGGACACATATATTCGCCTTCAGTCAAAAAATAACTTTATCCCACAAATTGTTAGGTGCCCCACAATCATTTCATTCTGTCAGCCCTTTGAAGTAGTCCAAACAAGAAGCACAAACTATCACTAACACTATCTAACCAACACTATCTTTACTATAGGTGTGAGTAGATAAAGGCCGAAACAGAAGCAGGGAGATACAGATAATTATTGTTACAGAAATCTTCAAGAGAATGAAAACAATACAACTCACAGCAAGAATAGTTCTGGTGTCAATTGAACACTAATC